GAAAAGATTCAATAAGCATTGATTATTAGATCAGATAGTATTAAACAGATCAATAGCTGGACGTGGACGCCCGATCCCGTGACCTCCTGATCAATGCGCTTCTGATCTTTTCAGCTGAATATCCTGATCTTCTATCCCTATTCTATTCTAGTCCCCTATTCTCCCGAATTGCGGGATAGAAACACGGCCTAATTGAAATGAAAATACACTACCGCACCATCTCTAGAAGCGAGGTTCAAACAGTTGCAAATGGAATTGCTGAGAAAACAAAATAACTCGTGATCAAGAAAAAATGCAAAACGAAAACGAAGAGCGATGCTCAGTTTTAAGAAGTGTCTCACAGTTGGGAATGTTTGAAAGGGGGTTTGCGTGACTCCTTCTAAAAATAGACTCGGTGTTGATCCGGCGGTCCTGCCACGAACGAGCTACCTTTACTGTCGGTCCCCCAGCGCGCAATAAGTATGGTGCCCAAAAGGAGCTAATTACCTAGCAATCGAGGGTTGTAATATTAACACTCGATTGAAACCTCAAGAAGCGTCCAAAAAATTTCTGTTCAGAAAATCGCCCATCGGGTTTATCCAGGGCCCTAATCACAAATATAACGCGTTCTTTTTTGACTTTGACACTGTATGTCGCCCGTGTTAGCGCCACATTTTGACATCAATTCGCTAAAAAAAAACTTACACACTCGTTTTAGAGTCCTTTGGAATTTGGAAGTAAATAGGCGTCAAGCTGGCGCAGCGTAAAAAACGAATATCATCTTCGTGATCAGAGCAGTAAATTACCCCTATGTATGGAAGTTCCAGATAAAGAATTTCGAACCAATTCTGGGATTGCAATAATGCCCTGCCGAAAGTGTAAGGTTATGACGATTTTTCCATATTTCGTCAAAAACATTGGTTCAAACGACATCGCTTTTATTGATCGATTCTACGAGGGAGGAAGGAGGGAAAATTCACACACATATCCTCGCCTTCAAATGACCAGAAATTGTGCAATTGCAGAAATTGACGTACACGTGGCTAAATTCTCGATGAAAAGGTGACATCACGTGTGCTCAAAGATGTTCTTGAATCGATGCCACGTTAATGCCACGTCAATTTCTGCAATTGCACAATTTCTGGTCATTTGAAGGCGAGGGTAGTACGCTAATGTACGCCTACCTTGAAAAACTCATTACAAACACGTTGATTCATGAGGAAAAAGCTCATAACAGACTCCGGCGCTATACAAGTGGGATGGGCACGCCCAGCTTTTCACGCATGTCAAAACCAGTGTTGCTCTCCATCCCCACCCCCTGGATTGGCTTACACTCCTGCGCTTCACGACATTTCCTTGGTTGCCCGTGGTGCAGTAGCGCGGCAGCAGTCCACCTACATCCATTGTCGGTGTCAGGAAATGCGGGCGTGCCCACCCTACTTGTGTAGCACCCAGATCCCTTTGATCTTCACCACCACACAAGTGCGTATAAGGTCCCCGTCGTGACCTACCATCAATACCGCGCCAAGCCAAAAAACGCATATCTCGACGTAATCAGGGGACGGCAAAGTGAGAGACTGTACGGCGGAGATGGCGACGGCAAACGGGGGGGAGGGGGTCGGCGGACAACCATGCGACCGTAGACCAAAATGCACCGAACGTATCTGGGTATTAATAGCCAAGATCAAAGGAAAATTCCGATTGAAAGATTGTTATTAAAAACGCGTACATTATTGTGTGGAGTTCTCGATGCTGATTTCAAATATGAAAACCATTCCCGACTTTTGTCGCAAATGCCCTTTTAGTCATCCCTAAATGCTTTTCCTTTCTTAGCTTTGCCTACATATTTCGAAAAGTCCCCATCAAAGTAAATGCCTTCTAATCGGACACAGACATAACGAATGTCCTTTCGAAGTAAGCATTCCCGGGGTAAATCAAGTTACGGTTTGAGGGAGGATGAAGGCTTCACTCTGTTTACTCTGTCTCGTAGCAGTTTGGAGAGGATTTTTCACTACACCCTAATACAAATCTCGATGTTGCTTGGCCTGGAACAGACGACCGAATAAATATGCAAAAGCAAGACAGGTAAGGTATACTTTGCGGGATGTGGGAAATGGAAAAAATAGAGAAAATCTAGTAAAGACGGATCTGCACAAGGTTGTGGGTCACCCGGCCTGGCGACGACCCGCAATGTATTTCGAGGGTTTGAATTTTGGTAGAATCCCTGGTGCTGTTCAAAACGTACCTTGTCCGAACTAGATGTAGTCGGTATTTTATTTCGACACGTGCGTTATGAGCAATAGAAATCCTTGGCAATTCAATGATTAAGAAACTGAGGGAAAGGAGGAAAAACTATCAGCGTCGTTTGTTTGCTAAACACACCCTCACTGCCGCTCACTCTGTCCTCCCACTGGCTTGAAGGCACAGAATGCGATAACCTGTTGGGTTCATAAGGGATGAGGGGTGCTAGAAAATACGCCAACTGGTACGTAGCAAAAAAAGCAGAGAAATATTTGAAAACTTGCGGAGGAAAACCCTCATTTCGTGCTTTAAATTTGGACGAGTTTACGGTTCAGATGTGTTTTTGATGATAAGATGATAAAGTATGCAGCCTTTGATATAAAATGAATTCCTCAAACAGAATTCAAGTGGTGATCATAGCAGTCCTGCAAAACCCCACTTTTGGGCGGAGCCGTTTCGGGCGGAGCGGTGCTTAGATGTGGCGCCCAACTGCGCTGCAACCAGTACACATTTCGTCGCGAGAATAGCGCTTTCCGCTTTCGTTGCCACCCGACTACCGCATCCAGTGCCATGCCTGAATCCCCAATGCGCATCCACTTCATCGTGCGAGCTGCCTTCAAAATACTAGGTCCAACAGGACGGTACTGCTGATCATTCAAATGATACACATTCTGACCACAC